AAGAGTGTAAATTATATATATACACACACACACATATATATACATATTATGGGTTTGTAGAAATCAATTCAATAACAAAAGTAAATGAAAATGAAGTACAATAGATTTATACATAATGCATGCCTATATACTTGCTTAATTACAGAAATTGATTAACTTTCAACGATAAATACATTTTAATATCTAAGTTTTTTTTTATATATACATGTAATTGCATATGAGATTGGTGGTTGCTACCTACAACAAAATCCTCCTCCTTTATCCGGGCTTGGGACCGGCGAGACGTGAGATAAATGTTCAGGCGGAGTTTATATATACATGTAATACTTTCATTTTTAAAAAATATCCTTTATCATGCTAATTTTGTTGTTAAATTCACATTAAAAATTAGCAATGTTCATATCAGAATTAATTAATACGTTATTATTTTGGAAATGGTACGAAACAATTTCATGTAACAAAATTTAATGAGATGATTTAATATCTTTTTTTTTTTATTTAGCCGTATGGTTTTGTATTCTATTTTCTTTGCATTATCATTATATATATAAATATATATGTATATATATATATATATATTATCTAATTGTTTAACAAAATAACATTATAACTCGCCTCGAATATTTTGGTTGAATATCGAATTGAGAGAAGAAAAAAATGGATAATAAAATATGATAACAAAGAAAAATAAGGAGCCAAAATGTGTAGAGAGTTTTAGAGATTAAAACATATATACAAGAAAAAATAGTCTAAATGAAAAAGTTAAAAAAACCTAACATTAAATATTAAAACTAAAATATGTTTATCTAATTATGTAGAATCAAAATGCTTCGGAATTTAGCTAGTGTTATGCTAGTTTGCCTAGTTCAAGAACATTCGGAGAGACAAGATTTTTTTTCCCTTGAATCTTTTGAATTTATTTTACTAATATCTCACACACACACACACACATATATATATATATAAAATCATTCTCTAAGTGGTTTGGGTATTAGTAAACATGAAAAAAAACATGGATGAACTGTTGAATCTAAAAAAAAGGACTTATTACCTCCAATCATGGTGGAGCCAAAACACCAACCAATGTAAATTCTGATCGGATGCTTCTGGTTCTAACCTCAAGCAAATCCAAACCCAAAACTTCATCTCTCTCTCTCTCTCTGAGAAAATGTTACAAAGCATAAAACATCATAACTTGAATTCCATAAAACGAAGGGCTCCTCTGAAATTACACGATCTTTCTGTCGTCAATCTTCTCAGGTTGAGCTTACAAGGACGAAGAGCGGCGTCTCTCCTAGTTTCTCCCGACCCTTCCAAAAATATCACCCGAGAGTTCTTTACGTGCGTACATACACGAGAAAATCACTATAATAGATCGGAAAACCAGATGGTAAGTAACACCGAGAGAACCGGGACAAACCTTGAGCTCGGCTAACTCGATAACACAAGCACATTCCACAACCTTCACTCCCACACGCTCTGCAAACACAACAAAAGCATTAAACATAGCCAAGTGGAATGGAGTCTTGAGTTATATTTGAAAACATTATATGGCATATAACCACCTTGGACTTACCGAGTAGACGGATTGCAGCACATAAAGTGCCGCCAGTGGCGATGAGATCGTCTATAACAAGAGCACGTTCGCCCGGCTGTACAGCTCCCACATGCATTTCTATCTTATCGGTTCCATACTCCAACGAATATTCCTCCGAGATGACCTCCCCTGATGAAGAAATCGGAAGATTAGGGTGTTTGTTCCATTAAGAAGCTAAAATGATTCATATATTCAAGCTGGTTATATCGACAAACATAATGCAAACACTCTAACCCGAGATTAGCACATTGAATATTCCAAGATTACCGGAAGATAGTTCAAGAGAAAGATATCAATTGCCTTGCTCAAACCCGAGATATTATACAGAAACTTACGACAACCAACCATCGAACTTACGAATCTGATGCTAGAAAACGCTGACGCATACAACGGTAATGATGCAAATGACAAAACAAGTAACCATAGCCATTAGTGAGAGGACAAATAGACGAATACCGGGCAACTTTTTGGGCTTCCTCATAGGAACAAATTTTGCTCCGATAGCCAAAGCAATAGGAGGGCCAAATATGAAACCTCGAGCTTCAACACCTGCGTTTTCACTGCTAGTGTTAGCTCATACGCTAAGCTTAGAGGCCGTTTAGTTTATGGTTGACAAATTATACAAAGCATAATAAACAAAGTTTCGGATAACCCTTCACACATTTCAGGGTTAAAAACAAAAAACAACAATCAAGTTATTCAAATAAGAGAACATATATTTCAGTATCAGTTACTTAAAACTCCACAAGCTTGTCTTTTGACTTGCCAGTAACCAGACACCAGAACCTACCCTCTCTCTGTTTCTAAGGTTAATTGGTAATGAAAGAAACATGTCTAAGAAGAATGTATCCACAAAAGAAATCCGATGTTTGGATTCAGAGTCAGCCATGGATATGGAAAGCAATACCTGCAACAACAGAGATGTCTTTCCCTTTGTACCTCTCGACAAACAAATCAATGGTGTCCTTAAAGGCCTGAGTGTCCAGAAGAAGCGTCGTTATATCCTGAAACATGATACCTGCAAAATCACAAAGCAACTTAACAAATAAACAGAAAAAAAAAACGGAATGCGACGAAATTTCTGAACAATCAGACGAAAACGTGAGAACCCCACAAAGAAAAATCGAATCTTTATAGCAAAAAAAAAAAGAAAAAAAACGAAACTTTATTCGGAGGAGAGGAAAATAAACCTGGTTTGGGGAAGTTGGGGATCACACGAATCGCGGAGGCGATCTTAGGGATTCTGGGGTCTGTTCCATCTTCAAAAGCCATTTCCGAGTCCTGACTCGCTACTCAACACGACTCGGAAGAGACCAAAAAGAAGAACGCGCAGGTGAGATGCAAACTAGACCTAGAGGGGGAAGCAGACAGAAACAGAAGACCAACTGGAACTGACCAATCGTATCCAAAAGATTATATTTTTCACCCACCCTGACGGAATTGCCCCCATCCCATCCCACAAAATATCTTTAATCGGACTTTTCCGTAACTTGAACTAATATAATATATTTTTTACATTTTTTTTGGTAAAATATATTTTTTACATTTTCACCACAGTGAAAAAGAAAAAAAAATGAATCGAGGGATCTACTCCACCGGCGGCGAAGCAGATGCGAGGCGTGAGGGTAGAATCGTAATTTCTCAGTTTCAGACTGCAACAATGGCAGCCATAGAAAAGGGAAGGAGAAGAAGCTCTGTAGGGATTTCAGAAATTTTCTCTATCACTTTCCTATACAAGTCGCTTTCCTATACAATGGCATCTAGTCTCTATCAGGTTGGTGTGTGTTCTCGTGTTTGCTCCTCTGTACTTCCTGCAATTGTCAGATCGTGCTTTCTTGTTTCCTGCTTTTCGCCGTCTGTAACTATCATCCGAGTTTGTTCCGATGCTCCACATGTAGCTGATACTCAGGACAAGGAGACTAGAGAGGAGGGTTGCGGCGGCGGAGCACGGCGGAGGTGGTGATGAGAGGAGAGGGATCGAAGGAGGGAGAGAGAGAGAGAAGAGAGAGGTGAAGCTGTTTGCATCACCTTTTTTGAGGGTTTTTTTGGTAACTTAACCAAAAAAAGAGAATCTTTGCGTTGTTCACACAATAATTACAAACATTTGAAATTTCAATCGAAAAATCATGTTTGTTGTCGGGCCGGGCCAGGCGGGCCTCGGGTCGGGCTTAGGACCGCGAACATTTGTCTAGATTTCGTCTGTTTGGTTTTTGGTTTTTTGTCGGCCCGTTTGATCTTTTTTTTTTTATGTATCAATCGATTTCTTTTATTCCCTAAATTTATTTCCCTAAAGCCCTAAAATTCTCGAAATTAAACGTACTCTTCTCCCTTTCGTTCGCTGGCCTCCGCAAATTCAGTGAGGTAATCTCAGTTTACGTTTTCCATTTTGAAAGTACTTTCGGGTATCTCTCGCTCCATATGTGTATGCATTGTGTGTGTAGGCTTCCTGTGACAGTGTTTTCGATTTTTGGGACACGGGTCTTGTTGGCTTGAATTTCCATTGGTTCTCGAGTTCGTATGCCTGATTTCGAAGTAATTTCTCGTGTTGGTTGATGGGTTTTCGAGCTTTCTGATCCATCCACAACGCTGTCTCGGGATGTTTCATTGTTGAGGTCGTGTTGTTGGTGGAGCCAGGTGTTGTTCACTTTGGGTCTTCCGGTCAAATTTGAAGATTCTTCTTGTTTTTTTTTTGGTTGAACTGACGAGTGAAAACGATGTTTAATCGCAATTTACAGGTAGATGTTCTCAGTGTTACAAATATTGATAACTTGTTCGTTCAGTGATCGATAGGGTTTGTCTTGCCTAGTTACTGAACGTTTTGTTTAATCTGGTTTCGTTATGTTAGGTTTATTAGCTCTTAATTTTTGGATATTCAGGGGAAAAAATGTGTTTTTTTTTCATTTCCTAACAATGTGTTTAGCCATAGAAGCATTGGCGTCTGAATTTTGTGAATGGGGAGTTTATAGCCATTTAAGCTTTGTGCTTAGCTGTTCTGAGAAGTTACAGTGGTGTGTCCTGTCTCTTGATCTTATGGTGAACCCATTTGCAGAAATTTCGGCAAATTTCGATTCTGTTTTGTTTTACTGAAGCTAAGCATGAGTCCAAGTGACAACTCGGTAGCTGAAACTGATTGTTCTTCGTTCTGTTTGGTCCTCTTTATTCTTGAAATGGAAATTTCTGCCGACGTTTCGTTTCTGTTTTCTGATTGTAACAGTGAGTATAGTTGCATTTTAACCTGGCTTTTTTTTTATGGAAGCCAGTTCCTATTCTTGTCGGATTCCCCAGGAGACTGTAGGTTTGTGGAGTGACAAGAAAGACGGTTAGAACGGAGTACGATGTTGTACATTGTAGGATTAGGATTGGGGGATGAAAGAGACATAACATTGAAAGGGCTCGACACTGTGAAGAAATGCCAGAAAGTGTACATGGAAGCTTACACTTCTCTCTTGTCATTCGGTCTATCTGCTAATGGTCTTTCCAATCTGGTGAGGCTACAAAATTTGTAATGAATTTGATCTTTCGGATTCTTTAGCTCCTTAACCTTGGAGTATCATAGTTTCGTATAATCTGAGTTTGTTTTCGTCTTTTCGGAATTTTCTGTAGGAAAATCTTTATGGTAAACCAATTACACTTGCTGATAGAGAAATGGTGGAAGAAAAAGCCGATGATATACTCCGGGAAGCAGTTCAGCATAATGTTGCTTTTCTTGTTGTCGGTGATCCTTTCGGGTATTCTTCGAAATTTCGTATTCGTGAACTGAGCCCTCTCTGAATCTTGAAACCGAATTCTATAATCGCTGTTCTTCTCAAGAACCAATGACAAGGTTCAAAAAGAAAACTTTACTTGATTTAAGCAGCCTTTGGTTATCAAAAGAATGGGAAATTCTCTTGTCGGATTATGTATTTATAAGGTTTTTGGTGTTTTCTTTTTGATGAATGAAGAGCTACAACACACAGTGATCTTGTTGTTCGAGCCAAGAAACTCGGGGTCGAGGTAGAAGTTGTGCACAATGCATCGGTGATGAATGCTATCGGGATTTGTGGTCTGCAGCTTTACCATTACGGGGAGACGGTTTCTATCCCGTTCTTCACCGAGACGTGGAGACCGGACAGCTTCTACGAGAAAATCAAGCAGAACCGATCTCTCGGATTGCATACCCTCTGTTTGTTAGGTCAGAAAATTTTCTTTTCTGTGCCTAGTTCTTGATTCTTTAGCTCGTTTGATGTTGAATATATGGAAGAATTCTATTGGAACTAATACACATTCTTGAAATATCGGTCGATACGAATTCCTAAATCCACTAATTATTCCTCCGCTCGCTGCAGATATCCGTGTGAAGGAGCCGACACTCGAATCTCTCTGCAGGTTTTTTCTTCAAAACATTCGACGATTTATATGACGCTAATCTGTTGTGTCCTTGTTTATTTCGGTCTTTCTTTGTTCGAGTTTTTCAGAGGGAAGAAGCAGTACGAGCCTCCCCGATACATGACGATTAACACCGCCATTGAACAGCTCCTAGAAGTCGAGCAAAATCGGGCAGAATCGGGTAAAAACCCCCCGCTTTTTATTTTCTTAGGACAAGTCTGAACTCGATAACCCAATGATTGGGGTGGGCGCATGCGGGTACCCGAACGTTTTGGGTATCCTGTCTTAGCCTCGTCTCCGCGGGTTTTCTGAAAGTATTATCTCGGTCTGTCTCACCAGATCGGGTACCTGTTACTCGGTACCCTCGGCTGAAGTCAGGTACCGGGTACCCGAACCTATGAAAATTTTCGAAATTCCGTTAACTTACATTGATTTTAGGGGTTTTATCAATAATTTTCCATAAATATAGGTCTAGTTATTATTGAAAATATATTAAAATAGTAGGGATATGAATGTAAATTTATTTTTATCCGGGTATCTGCGAGATATCCCGTTGTAGTTCTGAAAACCCGGAATCTTAACCCGTGGTATGAGGTTTCTGGTCTTGTTGCCCCCGTTTTCGATCTCCTTCGGGGTGAGTACTCGTCACCGGAGTACCCGTGAGACTCTGTATCCGGAAACCCATGGCTCTCGTGTAAAGACGCCCACCCCTAATGATGCATTTCTTATCTATAGAAGTTTTGTTGTTGCAGTTTATACCGAAGAAACGGAATGTGTTGGGTTTGCGAGACTCGGATGCGGGGATCAGAAGATAGTCGCGGGGACGATGAGGCAACTAAAGAATATCGATTTCGGGGCACCGTTGCATTGTCTAGTCATCGTCGGACAGACGCATCCCGTGGAGGAAGAGATGTTAGAGTTTTACAAAGTGTGACAGAGCAGCCAACAAAAAAATCGGAAGGACCCGAAGAAATCATTACCCGACTGATGATCAATTTCGTCGGATCGTGTTTTCACGTAAGTCGCAGACCTGCAATTCGGTATTCTTCATGTCGAAACAGACGCAATAACTTGTTTCAGGGCTCTTTTTGGTTTCGGTTGCAGAGGTTTCGACATTTGTTTCGAAGGGTTTTAATGTCAGGAAAACGGTTAAGTGAAACCGAAGAAGAGAACCCTAAACCGAAATTTAGAAAATTTGATCGAATACTATTTGGTTTATTCCCAAAACCTAGTTGTTGTTCGCATTGGTCTTCGGATGGTTTATTTGGTTAATAATTGAGCGACCGAATTAGTTCGAATTGAATAATCTATAACTCTAATCAAATCGAATTAGATTTAAAATTAAATGGTGGTAATTAAAAAAACTAAATGGAATACTAATCCAATGGAACAAAAAATAATTAAAAAAATCGTAATTTTTTCAAAGGAATAAGTATTTTTAATGTAATTGAATCGAATTTGAATCGAATAATATCTAACTGAAATCTATATAAAAACCGAACGGTTATAGTTTTTCTACAATCGAATAAAAAATTAACCCAACGAAAACGCGAATAAACCACTCCTGTTCGTCTCTCCTCGGATATTTTGCTAATATCTACACTTTTATTGCATTTCGTGGGTATCCCATTTCGGATATCCGAACTGAAACCGAATATTGTGATCGAAAAACTCTTAGAAAGTGAAATCTAGATCGGGCACGTCGGAACCCCGACCAATCTGGAATATATCTAATTTCTCCTTTATTTTCGATTTTATATTTCTTTTTTTTTTCTTCCCTTGGTCTGGTCGAGAGCTTCGGTGTCTTGGACGCAAAAGCAACAGAGAAATGAGACGACAAACGCCGAACATATCTCTTAGGACACCGAACCTTATCTGACAGATAAACACAAAACCAGAAGACGTCCCATTCAGACAAATTACACACTTCCCCCCTCTCACTTTTATTTTATATTTATTTATTTTTATTTTAAGACGTGTCTAACCTGTTTGGCAAGCCCGTGTACACCCAATTTCTTAGCTACCCCACCCAGAAAAAAGAAAGAAAATACCGGTTTACTTAACCGATTTGATGTGGTTAAACCGGAAATTAAAAAAAAACATAACCATCCGGTTTATTTAGAACCCGATGATGACGGGATTGGTGGCCGTTGACTTGATGAACCAGAAACAATGGGGGAGAGATTAGTATTATTTTTTTGCTTAAGGACAAATAAAATTAACAAAAACATATTTTAATTACACAAGCATATGGATGATATCATCTTACAAGCTATGACATGCATAATACAAGAGCAGATTAAACTTAAAACATATACATTAGAGTTATATCATATTGTTATGATTTTATCAGTTTGTTTATATTTTGTATAGATTTTGCTTTATCTTATTTCCTTGTTTTATGGTCCTTTTGTTATTTAATCGTGTATATATATGTTACTTTAACACACGGCATCAATAAGAAATTGATTCCTTTACTCTTTTCCCTGTTACTTTCACATGGTATCAGAGAAATACAGTAATCCGTCACTCGTTCCTCTGTTTTTCACACTTTGCTTTTTGACTTTTCGCACCTTTTCTTCCTAATGTCAGATCCATTACTCACCGACGCTCGTTCTTCTGCAACTTCTTCTGAAAATGAGCCCTCTGCAACTCCTTCCCTCTCTTTTTCTAATCTTGACCCATACTCCAATCCTTTGTTTCTTCATGCCGCTGATACCTCTAGTGTGTCGCTTATTACCGAGAAACTCACTGGTGAACCAAATTACAATGTTTGGTCGCGATCTATGACCAAGGCTCTCAATGCCAAGAACAAGCTTGGTTTCATCGATGGGTCTATCCCTCCACCTTCTGTTTCAGATCTTCATTTTGGCTCTTGGTCTCGCTGCAATGACCTGGTATGTACTTGGTTAAACAATTCTGTGTCTTCTGACATTGCTGGTTTGGTTATATATTTCGACAATGCACGAGACATCTGGGTGAATCTGGAAAACAGATTCAAACAGAAAAATGTTTCCAAAATCTACAACATTCAGCAGCAACTGGATCTTCTGCATCAAGGATCATTGGATCTTAATTCTTATTATACTAAGTTGAACAGTTTGTGGGAAGAGTTGAAGAATCATGAGCCATTTCCGATTTGTACTTGCAAAGGTTGTTCTTGTGATCTGTCTGGGCGATGGCAGGAGCTTTATGACAGAAGGAATGTTGTTAAATTTCTCATGCGTTTGAATGATTCCTTCACTCCTGCGAGAAGACAAATCCTTATGATGGAGCCTGTTCCAAACTTGACTCGAGCTTATAACCTGATTGCTCAAGAAGAGCAGCAGAGAATTGTGGTTTCTTCTCCATCTGATTCAATGGTTTTTCAGACGTCAAATGCTAATCCTCGGCAATCAGCTTCGTCCATCCTTGGCATTCCTCCTTCTCGACAGGTTTCTTCTGTCAAGCCTCGACCTCAATGCACTCATTGTGGTCTCATAGGACATACTGTCAACAGATGTTTCAAAATCTATGGATATCCTCAAGGACACAAGCCTGCTTGGAGTTCCAAAACTCAGAAGAAATTTCAGCCTTTGCAGTCTCATGTTAACATGGTCGGTGCTCCTGGGTTTGATGGAAACACTACAGACTTCAATTCTGCCTCTGGTATAGTCTCGAAAACTTCGTTTGAGCAAGCTCAGAATTTGATTTCGCAGCTCAGTACACAGCTCAAGGGACTAAGTACCTCGACCACTGATTCAAATTTAGCAGTTCCACCACCCTCATCAGGTATACCCCTTCATCACTTATTTCATACTTCAACCTCATCTTTTTCTTTCCCACCCAATTTTTGGATTCTGGACACTGGTGCCAGCAATCATGTTTGCCATGATCTGTCAATGTTTTCTGAACTCCATGAGATTGCACCCATTTCTGTCACGTTACCAGATGCCTCTTCTATCTCGGTAACCAAGTCTGGAACTGTGGTCTTGTCCTCTTCTCTTATTCTTTGTCCTGTTTTATTTATTCCTACTTTTCGTTATAATCTTTTGAGTGTTAGCTCTCTCTGCAAACATTCTTCTTACTCCGTCATTTTTTCTCGTGATTTTTACATCATTCAGGACCCTACTCGGGGATTGATGATTGGAAGGGGTGATCAAATTAATGGTCTATACATCCTCCAATTGCAGCCATCCTCATCTTCTGTTCCACTTGACTTGTGTTCTGCGGTCTCGATACCCTCACTAGATGTCTGGCATAAACGTCTTGGGCATCCTTCAGACCTCAAGATTCACGGCCTTGCATCAAATAACGAGCTGCAATTTTCTATTTCTCCTAATAATGCGCATTGCGATGTTTGTCACTTGGCTAAGCAAAAGCGCCTTTCGTTTCCTGTTTCTTCTTCAGTTTCTGCTTCTCCTTTTGATTTACTACACATTGATGTTTGGGGCCCTTTCCATACACCGACGGTGGATGGACATCGCTATTTCTTTACCATCGTTGATGATTGTACCCGTGTTACTTGGATTTATCTTTTACGTAATAAGAGTGATGTTGCTGCGAAATTCCCTACTTTTATTTCTCTTGTTCAAACACAATTCTCAGCAACAATCAAAGCTGTCCGTAGTGACAATGCTCCGGAACTCATTTTTACAGATCTTTTTCTCAAACACGGGATTGTTCATCAATTTTCTTGTCCCCATACCCCTCAACAAAATTCTATCGTTGAGAGAAAACATCAACATATCTTAAATGTTGCACGGTCCTTGTTGTTTCAATCAAATTTAACAAAACGACAAGTTTGCCACTTGTTTTTTTTCTACTTTCAATTTTTTTTAAAAAGAAACAGTAAATAAAAACAGTTGAAAATATTTTAGAACGAGATGATTAGTGGAACGTGGACGAAGTTTCATCGCCACGTCATTAAGCCATCGCTAACATTCATCGAATCTAATCGAGAAGCTTCTATTTCTCGTCTTGGATTGAAACATATTCACTTATTAAAAAAAAATAAAAGATAAAAACACGACGAGATAAGTAAGAAGGCGAGACTGAGATTTTTTTTAAAATTTAAAAAAATAAATAAAAGTCGGCGGAGGATAAAGGACACGTGGAAGCAGAAGAGGAGATACTTGGCGTATCTTCTCCGTCGCGTTTTCTAGAAACGGAATGCTCGTTTAAAACACATTTTACAAATTCATTGTCCATCGTCTAAATTATTTTAAAAAGAAAAATATAGATTTCATGTAGATAAACTTATATATGAGTTTTTTTAAAAAAAAATATTAGAAACGTATCACGCTATTAATTATGGAGTTTAAAAAAATGTGTTCAATCAATTAATATACTCTGATACAATAACCAATTGTTCTTTTTTTTTTTCACAACATTGTTTTCAACAAAATTATCATGATTTTTATCTATGTAATACTCCCTCTCTTTCAAAATATTTGTAGTTTTAAATTATTTTCCATATTTCAAAATATTTGTTATTCTATATTTTCAAGACATCTTTTTACAATAATTTCTAATTTTATCTCTATTAAATTCTAATAAATTATTAATGATAACATTGTTTTTATTATTAAATAAGTATATACATGACTTTTTCTATCTTTTTTTTAAAAATGTGAAATAACCTAAAACAATAATTATTTTAAAACAGGGAGTATAAATCAAAATTTCCGAAACAAGATCCATCGATTATATCTTTATTTTAATATAATAGTATACACTAAACTTTAAACCGAAAATTCTAATAAACTATATTAAAATTAAACTGAATCTAACGATCGAACCAACGGGTAATTCTTTAGAAAATAGTAATTTCCATTAAATTTCAAACTTTCCCACTTATACTTTGTTATCCTTTTCAGATAGTGATAAGTGAAAGTAGCATTGAGTAACGCAAGTTTAGAATCCACTAATAAAACAAGGTAAAAGAACATGGTTTTGCATTAATTAATATATAAATACATGAATTAGTTGCAATGGAATATATATATATATACACACACACATGTATATGTCACAATACACACAAGTTGATTAGATGGGAAAGCAACACACAACTGCACAATTAGCTGCATAGGAGGGTCCATTGTACATTGACATGGAAATTAAAATAAAAATAAAAAAAGAAAACACTCCACTTGCATTGTCTTAAAATCACATAATTCAGGTAAACTAAGAGTTCATCTTCTTTGAACCCTTCACCAATTTTCATATTTTAAAAAAAAATTATAAATAATAAATAGATATAAGAAAAAACTATTGTAGCTTTACTAGTTGCCCTACGGCCCTTTTATGGACCTTTCCAATGGCTGCTTTTTGTGTGTTGAGAGTGAGTTTGAATGAAAAGGATGGCATTTTTTCCTTCTTTCTCCCACGACCGAGTTTTGGGTTTTGACTCGGGAACGAGTCGACTTTCAAAGTCAAATTATGTGTCCCTTGTTCTCTCCTCCTCCCACTTCATTTCCAATGTTCCTTCCTCCATTATGGCATCGTTTACCCAAAAAGATATAATTTTTTTCAAAGACTTTAAAACAAGTCAACTCACTGCTATTCCAGCCCCAAAAGACAAGTTATATATACATGTATGTGTATATATTACATGGGGCTGGCTCTATTTCACTATTTCAACCGATCTTGTCAATATTGTAACAGCGAGTAGACCATATGTGTATGTATGTGTAAATGTTTGGTAACATAGAAACCAATGGTAAGGAAAAAGAACGTGGTGAATGGGGCCACACGAGGAAGAAGCGGCCGACCTTATTAGGCATTTGGCTCATCCTTGGCCACCAAGCAAACCTTACCTCACCACCCCCACCGCCTAACCTTTACACCATTACACCCTCCCAACATCTTCTCCCAATTATTTAATATTTTCAATATATGTATATATAAAGAAAATAAAAATAAAAAGGGAAATTAAAATTCAAGTGTTGGGCTTGCCTTTGCACCACTTGTCACGCAACTTCCCAACTCCTCCCTTATAAACCCCATCTCCTTCCTTCCACTCCCTCACTCTCTCACCATTACACGCCTTTCTCATTGTTCTCTCTCCCTTTTCCCCGCATATACATACACATATACTTACACGTATACACTCTGCTCCTCTTCTTCTTCTTCGATTCTAGGGGGTTTTTTCTGCTTTTGTTGAAGTGGGTTTTGCTTGCTATGGCGCTTGAAGCTCTCAACTCTCCAACCGCAGTCGCAGCTCCGAAGCTCCTTCACTTCGAAGAGGCGGCTAATCTCCACAGCCTCGAGCCCTGGACCAAACGCAAACGCTCCAAGCGTCCGCGTTTCGATCAGCCCTCCACCTCCGAGGAGGAGTACCTTGCTCTCTGCCTCGTCATGCTCGCCCGCGGCGGTAGATCCGCCTCCGACCACGATCCTACCCAGAAACCGCAGACGCAGACGCAGACGCAGACGCAGACGGCGGAGGAGAAGCTGAGCTACAAGTGCAGCGTCTGCGGAAAGGCGTTTCCGTCGTACCAGGCTCTCGGCGGACACAAGGCAAGTCACCGGAAACACCTCCTCGCCAGTGCCTCCGCCGCCGCCGCCGCCGGAGATGACCACTCGACCTCCACAACTACCACCACCTCCGCCACGGCGAGCGGCGGCGGCGG